ATTTCGTATAGAACCTTACTTCCCCAACTTATTTCATAGTAGACCCTCTTTCTATTTTTCTTTCAAGCGGTATAAAAAAATCTCTAAGGATTTCACCGTAGCCCCTCATCTCTTATCTCCCTCATTTATTCACTTTTGACCATAAAAATTAACCCCAACAAATATTTTTATACCATTTCAACCCAATATGAGAGAGAGAGATAGGGAGCCCTCAATGCGGCATTGAGGGGCTGAAAAGGCAAAAAAAATTAATAAAAATATATTTTTGAAATGTTTTTGGGTTAAAAGATATAATGGGGTGGGTTAAAAAAGTTTTTGAAACGTTTTTGGGTTGAAATGATATAAAAATATTTGTTGGGGCTAATTTTTATGGTAAAAAATGAATAAATGATGGAGATAAGAGATGAGGGGGTACCGTGATATCTTTAGGGATTTTTTTCATGTCGCTTGAAAGAAAAATGGAAGGATCGTCTACCATGAAATAAGATGGGGAATTAGGATTGCATACGAAATTTTCTCAAGAAATAAAGATCACCCAACATTTGATTTCACACTTGCGTGTTGTATAGGTTGGTGGTTTCTTCTGAGCATTTTTTTTTTGGTAATCCAATAGGGAATACATGCCCTTATCTATTTTTAAATGGTTAGATTTTTTATTGGAGAGCACGACATGCGACTAAGATATGGGGTGCTACGAACACGACCCTAGAACTTTCTTCTGAGCATGCTTTTAGAGAAAAGCTAATGAGACTACTCAAACTTTCAGTTATTACTTTGTTGTTTTTCTCTACATATTAATAGATTTCATGGCATCTTAGAGTTTGCCTTTTCAATTTTCTATTAAAACCAGCTTCTAAAAGGCCCATCTTCCATGAATAAAAACTCCAATCAACTGAAACAAGTAATTATCTTAGTTTTTGGAAAACAGCAGACAATAGGTTACCTTAAACTGTACATCAAAATATCTATAGAACAAATTACTAGAAATTAAACAACACAAAATCCGTAGACCAAAAAATCCCCCTACTTCCCTCACGAAGTGTGAAAATGCAGCTCACTGTGTTTTAAACTTTCGACGGATCCCTGTTGAACTTGATTTTTTGAGGTAGCGGAATTTCTATTCCATTTAATCACTGAAGTAGTTCTAGTTGCCAAACACAGAATTGCTAGTGAATTGAAGTTTTAGACTTCTTTAGTTAAAACTTCAAGTTGCCAAACTCGGCTAAAGGTCAATGAATATATCTTAGGATAAGGTTTGTAGGAGGCGTCCACTTTATATTATACATGTAAGGCACACGTCTAAATTTGTATGAAACTGTAATTCCAATGCCAGAACCTAAGGATGGCTTGAAAAGCCAGGCTAAACTCTAATTATAACATTTTAAAATTTTAAAAACAGTGTTCGATCAGATCTATAAACACTTGAAAATCTCGAAAATAAATAACCCATATATCTTGTTATTTATAAGACTTGACATTCTTTTTCCTTTTTCTTTTTTTCTATCTATGGGTTTTGAGATTGAAATGCCAATTGAAAGATTTTCCTCCCTTGAAAGACTCTTTTCTATTGAATTTTTGAATTCTAAAAATAATGCTTGAACAGATCTATCAATACTTGAAATCTTAAAATAGATGACCCATATAACTTGTTATCTATAAAACTTAAATTTCCTTTTTAATTTATATTCATATATTTTGAGATCAATATCCAATTGAAAGATTCTCCTCGAAAGACTTTGCTATCGAGTTTTTGAAGAGAATCTACTCATATACTATAAAGTTGCACCACCTTTTTCCTTTTTTACTTGTAAAACTTCTTTAATGGAAACGCACAAATGCATATGATTTGTTGAGGGACCCGGTTTCTATGCGGCCAAGCCCACATATGTAGAAAATGTGGGGCTCTTAATAAATCCATTTTTGAGATGTATTTTAAGATTTAATTTTTAATGATGTGTAATCTCTAACATGGAGATCATGAATATGAAAAAATAAATAAATTTAAAAAACGAGAAATAATAATTTGAGTAAGAAAAAATTTGGACGGTTAGTTTCCATTGTTTTTAGGTGGAACACCTACTTGCATTCATCTTTAAGATGGATGCTTTACACTTTCTAGACCGCATATGCAGAAATGCAGGGTCCATCCTGCGTGAAACAATTTTTCATTTGCCATAAATATTAATAGAATCTTTAAGAGAAATTAAAAAAAAGGAAAATAGTATATACCCCCAACCTTGGACTTTTTACATAACCTCCCCCCCAACAACTTTAGTTTCGTAAATTTTACCCTAAAAAATACTTTTTTATACCAAATACCCACCAAGTCAAAAAGTTATATTTATTTAAACTAAAATGTCATTGTCCGTACAAGCTCGCGTCACATCCTCATAAAATAAGCAATCAAATATTGACTATCAGAACGTAGTAAACAATTGCCGGATCGACGTGAAGACATGCGGGACTAAGGTAAAGGTGCGTCAGACCGAAGTCATCACGTGCTGGACCGTGTAGAAACTACCGGACCCCATCAAAAATTTGCCAACCCAAGGGCACCCAGTTGCCTATCTTGTTTTTGGACCGAAAAACCATGATCGAAAAAAAGAAAGGGTTTTGTTGGGGAAGGTTGCCTAGAAAGTTCAAAATTAGAGGTTTTTGCAATTTCCCTTAGAAGCCGTTTGGGTACGTGGAAATCTATTACATGACAATAGATTACAATGAAATATGACATTTACGTTGTTTGGGTACACTTTAATAGTAAAGAAATGGAAACACATTACCCAAGATTACCCGGGATTTTTCCGAAAATCACAAAATCCATTACGCACGGTGATAGGTAAAAAATCTATTACGAAGTTGACGGATAGTTTTTGGAAATAATTATTAAAGTAACTAGAAAGTGAAAGCAGGGGATATGAAAAGGGGAATCTAAATTGATTTGAACAAGTGTAAGAGATCAATTTTCTACTGCAATCATAATAAAAAATGCCTACATCCATCTATCCCCAATTTGCGTTGTAGCCCTCATCTCACTCTCATATAAAAACAAATTTTTTTAATAATGGGTATGTGAAAGTAATGGAAATCTAAATTGATTAGACCAGTGGTAGAAGTTGATGAGGGACAATTTTCTACTCCAATCATAATAAAAAAATTTCTACATACCTCTATCCCCATTTTGGGTTGTAGCCCGCCATCAGCTCTAGTATAAAAATGAAAATAATAAAAATAATAATTAGTAATCGATGAGAAATTACACAACACAATCATAATAAAAAATTTCACACAACATAACCCTCATAAGAGATTAATCAAACTTCATCCCATTTTTTAATTTGTACCATAAAGATTTTGATTTTGGTATCATAAATTTATTGCTTATTTGAAATTATATATAAAAAGACATTTGAAAGACTTTTATAATAAATAAATGAAAAAAAGACTTATCAAAATAAAATCATGTTATTCCAATAACTTATCATGTTGAAATCAAAGTCTAATCATGTTAGCCAAACATAGCCATATTTTTCATATTTGGATTGTAATGCATTTATCATATTTTTTCTAGACATAGCCAAATAGTAGCAATGTATTTCTCAAGTTGCATCTAAATACTACCCAAACAGTGACAATCCATTTGCAGGTAATGTATTACGCTCGTAATATATTTCATAGACAATATATTTCCAGGTATTCAAATGGCCCCCCTTAAAGAAAAAATTAAATCGCATATTGAGTAATTTGATCTTAAAAAAGCCGCCTATCCTATTGTTGCATCGAGACC